TATGCAGGACCGCCAGGAGAAAGTCGAACTGGCAGTCCAGGACCACCAGGTTCTCCAGGCCCACGAGGTCCCGCCGGTCACATGGGGCCCCCTGGCTCACAGGGTCCTTCTGGCCCGCCGGGGTACTGCGATCCATCCTCCTGCGCTGGTTACGGCATGGGAGGTGAGTAGTCAGGAGTCGGGGTGGCTGCTGTTTGCAGAGGTGGGGGCAGCATTTTCTAACAGCCAAAGTAAGATGGAGGCTACTGGGGAACCTTGTGCTAAGACATGGTAGCTCCCTAAAAATGTGTGTGTCCAGTGCTGCTGTATTTTGTGGGCATGAAGAGCAGGGGACCCCGGCGTAGTGACCAAAGGACGTTCACCATCTGATCCCAGCCTGTAAAACAGATTCCGCGTAGTGGGCTTTTGCCCTGCGCCTGTTTGTGTAGTTGTACGAGCCTGCTCCATCTCGGCTGAACAGCCTGCGTGTTCAATCCCCACCTCCTCGTGTTCCTGACAGCGGAGTTTTCACATTTGTAGTTTTTCAAACGTGTTGCTCAACTTCCTCTTCCGTGTGCCTCCGAATGGCATGAGAGCATGACCCTTACTAAACCCCTGGTAGTGTAACCTGGCACAGGGATGCACGTGTCCGTCATTAACCAGTGAAGCAGCCTGGAGAAAATGATTCTTTCTACATCTTCTCTGTGTCTTACTTTCCCGTCTCGTCATAGCACGGAGAGGCCATGGGAGGAAGTTAACACAATTGCCAAAAGTTATGACGCCCAGCCTAAAATCGAAATTTGTTAGTAAAGCACCAGTTACGACAAACGTTACGCGTATGGCGTACTTGTTCGATGTTGACGGTTTAATCTGCCCGTGAGCCGATTTGTATGTTTTACTCACCTGAATGTTTTTGTTGTCGTCTCTTCCTGTCCTTTCCTCCTCACTTCCCCTCCCCGTTGTTCATTTCCTGTTTTAAGGCCCAATCCCTTACAATGGCTACCCATCCAGACGGTGAAAGGCTCACTCTGGTTCAGGTCTCATTTGGCTGAAGGTCAGAGATGGACGCTGAAGGGCTCTGTGCTTTCCGTCAACGATATTGACTACCACTAATGAACTCACTAGCTGCTGTACATGCACTTAGCTTCCTTGCTCTGCTAAAAAGTATTGCCTGGCCTGTGAATCGCGTGTTCTAGCCCACAGGTGGGGTCAGCTAAAGCAGGCGGATTGTGCAGCGTACAATAAGCACAGTACTGCAACCGGACATTTGGCAAATTCTGGTGGTGGTTTCCAACTAACTTGGCTGTCTGTTGGTGGGTTTCCAAGTGCTCCAGCTTATTAACTTTGTTACATGTTTTCACTGTTCCTTTATGTGAATAAAAGATGTGTATTTAAAAGATTATATATATATATATATATACTCACACACATTATATATAAATATATCTATATAGAAAATGTCAATTTCCTAATGAGTGCTTTAATTTTCTACTCCCCTTCTCCTGTGTTAACCGTACGAATACTCTTGGTGGTGGTGGGTTAAGGTGGATATGGTGAGCCAACCGATCAAGACATCCCGGTAGTGCAGTTGCCACATAACTCCTACCAAATCTATGACCCGGAGGACCTGTACGATGGTGAGCAACAGCCGTACGTAGTTCACGGGTCTTACCCCTTACCAGCCCCCTACTCCCAGTCCTCCTATCCATCACCTCATCTTGCTCAACCAGAGTTTACTCCTGTTCGAGAAGAGCTGGAAGCCGTTGAGCTGAGATCCCCAGGCATTAGTCGCTTCACAAGGAGGAGAGCCAAACGGAGCGCCGAGACGCCACTGCGCAACGGGGCCAAGGGAAAAAACCCCTCTCAGTGAACTGTTTATAAAAATGGGAAATGTTTTACGTGCAGCTGGGTGTCGCCTTTTGCCCAGGTGCCTAACCGGTCACGGACGATGCTTACAGGCTCTCATATTAAAGGAGACAAAAAATGCACATGCCCAGTCAATGCACCCAGTAACGGTAATTAGCTTGCATGCCAGAAACTTAGTATGTTAGTGGGTTGGTGCTAGACGATGATGAAAGGGTGCGTGTAGATCGTTCTCTGGAGTACCGTTCCATACACTTGTCAAACTGGATCTAAGACACCGCACTGGGCTCGTTGGTGTACCTAGAACATTCAGAAAACTTGATTATTTTATTTTTTTTTAATCCATGTTTTTCCAGTTGATTACGTTCTGTAGTTCGGGATGCATTGCTTTACTAGCAGAGTAACCCTACTAAATTCACCGGAGAACAATGCCTAAGCAGCTTTCCTTGAACCCAGATATTACTTCTGAAAAAAAAAAAATCTTATGTTAATGGAATATTTTTTTAACCCACATTATATAAATACACAAGAATGTTCCATGGGAGCGCACCGATAATTTATTGTGAACCTCTCTCATTTCTGTTTTGTATGCAAATAAAAGTGGCAAGCTTTTATACATTAATTTTGTATTTCACTGATTTTTAGCTTGGAACAATTGTATAGATCTTTGGGGAACAGAATGCAAAGAGAAGAAAAATACATCCTCCCTTGTCAATGCTTTTGGACAACTGTTTTATTATAAAGGACGCAGGCACTTTAAGTATAAACAATATTTAGCCTTTTTTTTTTTAAGTTCTGTATGAGCAAGTGTAGAGAGTAACTGAGATGGGGCAGCCATACCGCCTGTGGCCGTGAGCTGTGCCATGTCGATGATGTGCCAAAGTCAAAGGCAGGACAGGCAGGAGGAGAGGAGGGGGAACCCCAGCCCAACCGCTCGAGCAGCACAAACCAATTCGTTATGTCCAAACCAAGCAGGTAAATGACAGTGACTCAATATTTGAACAGCGCTGTGGAGACTATGCCTCAAAGCGGGAGTTAAAGTAGAAGCTCAAAAATGTTCATTTAAGTTGAAAGCCTAGATCTGGAATGCTTTTAATCCAGGCCTGTAAAGCCAGGGAGAGAGGCTGGCCTGCAGATCCCAGGAGCGTTCCTGCTGGCCCCTGCGGGGGTTGGGGCTGTTCGTGCCCGGTGAGCAGAGCCCTGCCAGCCTTTGCCTCTGGCCGCTGCCAGGTGCTCCCCGAGCCCACCGCGAGGACGACAAACCGGGACCTTTGCTGTGCAAGCTCAGCTTATCCGGGCTAGGATTCAGCCTGGTTAGTAACACAAACCACCTACACATGTACCTGGTGCCCAGGGCTGGGTTTGTCGCAGGGCTCACCCTGTGGCTTGGGGGCGGGAGGGGTTTCTGTGCTGTGGGTCCATTTCCCCATTAGATCCCTCACCCCTGACTCCCACCACTTCCTTGGAGAAAGGAGGGAGAAGTTTTGGGAGCTGCAGTTGAATGTCATTGCCTTGCCTGGGCTTGCATTTAAAGTAGAAGGTAGAAAAGTGTCCCATCACTTAGGGACTTTAAGCAGCTTAACCCCAGTTCATGGAACGCTGAAGCGCCAGGGAGCAGGGCTGGGTGCTGCACGTGTCACGGCCCGGCACATGTAGCTGGCGGGCAGAGAGCGCTTTACTAAAGTTAAATAAATACAGGCTGTGGGCGCAGCACGTGATTTGTTTCCCGGCTTGCGCTTGGTGGTGAACACCCACAGTAACTTACACCCACAGTAACTTTTACACCCACAGTAACTTTTACACCCACAGTAACTTTTACACCCACAGTAACTTACACCTACAGTAACTTACTTACACCCACAGTAACTTACACCCACAGTAACTTACTCCCACGGTGAACTCGTGCTCTGCCCGCTCCCACCCGCGCGGTGTGCTGCCGCCCCTGGGAGCCCTCCCACAACGGGCCGAACCGCAGGCCCTGGGAAGCGACCCTGAGGTCTCCGGTGGAAAACCAGCATTCAAGCAATTCTGCCTGTGCTGTCTCAGAGACTTTGAGCCTCCTGTTACTGTTCATGGTTAATTTGGCCGTCAAGCAATGCTATAGCCAAAGCTCAAGTTCCTGTGGGACCAGAAGAGCGGCAGGGGGAGCCCCGGGGTGCCGGGAAGACAGCACAGACAAATGCTTCAAACCAAGGCAATTGGTGTTATTTGCCCCAAAGTTGAACAGCAACAGCCTGACCAAAGCCCAGTGTCACCTCTGGTGTGCCCCTCCAACAGCTCCTGCCCCTGTCCCTGGGCAGGGGGAGCAGCCGGGAGCGGCGCTGTGCCCTTCTGCCCGCCGGGAACCATCTCCCCCTGCCCCACTCGGGATGTACACGCAGTGAAGCAAACAAAGAGAGCTCACTCAGGGGCAACAAAGTAGGCATAATCATGGCAATTTTAGAACTTAATTTATCTACTAAAGCACAGATGTTCATGGCACTAGTTAATTTGCTTTAACTTTGTATTTATAATGACATTTTGTGGCACCCCCGCTACCCAGAACGCCTCGTGTATCACTGGGCGTATGGTCGCTTGCTGGGTATACCCTGGTACTAAACAGGAACCGGCGGGCACTACTGAGTTATAAAAATATTATTCAGGATTTGTATGTTCGCCAAAAAAAGTAAGAAAGACAGAGGCGCATATGGCCAACAGTTTCTCCCAAAGTCAGACTCTGAATAATCAGGAGTGTCTCGTATTTTTCCAGACAGCCCAGGAAGCTTAAGCTGCTGACTGTGAAGCATTTAGCACATGATGAACGGCTGATGCCACCCAGATCTTACCCATAAAGTGTATGTACTGTGTCCTTACACAAAAAAGAGCATCTACTTTAACCTACTGCTTTTAAAATACTTTCACTAGTTAATTAAACGTGGTCACTGACTTGGAAATGAAGGCTGCAGGTTGACTGGACAGGAACGTTTAAGCTCATCTGAATGCCAAAGAAATGCCCAATATCAAATAATTATTTCATATAACAAAATATGATGATAAATAAAACTATT